AAAACACACAAAGTGTTTATCACAGTCCCTTGTAGAAAGATTAACACACTGCTGTCTCAGCATATCTAGCATACACACGCATAAAGCATACGGTAGCCATCCGAATTGCTAACACAAACAGTCCGACATTAGAAATGCTGTTCATCATTGATGGTAGCAGAAGTCACCAACAGATCAGCAGTTACCCACGCGATCAATTTTAATCACATACGGGACCACTAACATTGCGAGGACAGACAAAGCGCCGTTTCCTGAATCTACAATTCACACCACCACGCTTGTCACAGTAAAAAAAAAAAAAGAAATCCGCAGCTCACAGTGTCACGCCATGCATTCAACTCAGAAGCGTCCGTTTTGACCCAAAGTCTGTCCATAGAAAGGTAGGGAACAGTTCCCCTACACAGGATAGCAGTCAGCACAACATATCAAAGATGAGCAATGTTTATGTTTATGTTTATTCAACGGATCAACATAATGACACAATGGTAGTAATCTACAAGTGTCCGTTGTACTCCTAACTCAAGCCTGTCTGAAAAATCTCAGCGCAGTGCACGAACTCCGTTGCACCGGCGAGAATCCTGAAATATTTTGGGTAGATTTTCAACCCCAAATTTTGCCCGGGCAGCGCCATTAGGCTACTCTTTTCAATCTCCAAGGGATTATTTTTTACGCGCGCAACAAAACACACGGACGTCCGATCTTACTACCAGAGACCAGGGAAAATTACTAGAAGTCCACGTGAACCTGGGCTTGAACCTGGGACCTCCAGCACTCGAGGCGAACACCATACCTGGAGACCACTTAGCCTCCAGATGAAAAATAACCAGGTGCAAACTAATTTCAGGGCCCTGTGTGGTTACAATGAAAATGGGACTGGCCAGACAAGAGCACTATGCAAAAGGGGAGTGGCGAGACAAGAGCACTATGCAAAAGGGGAGTGGCCAGAAAAGAGCACTATACAAAAGGGGAGTGGCCAGGCAAGAGCACTATACAAAAGGGGAGTGACCAGACAAGAGCACTATGCAAAAGGGGAGTGGCCAGACAAGAGCACTATGCAGGAAGCCAAAGAAGAATAAGAAACAGTTAACGGACTGGTGTCGTCAGCCATTACATGCAGTGGGATTTACTGAAGAGGAGACCAGAGCAGCTATGGACTTAATGGTTCGATGTGGAAAGGGGAAAATCTGTCGATTAACTAACTAGTTAATCAACCAACCAAGCAACCGACTGCCTAACCAAGTAATGGAACAAAGGCTTGACAAAAGCATGGTTGTGAATAAACATTTTCAGTTTTTTTCCTAGGCAAGTCGAAAAAAGGGGCGTGGACCTTGAAGAGATAATGTATGAATCCGTTAAGGCTAGCGCAAGCCATTATACACATTACATCATCATCATCATCATCATCATCATCATCATCCTCATCATCTCCAGAATGTAAAGAACCAGGCCTGGTGTCCACCTTCGTTCTGGTAGACGTGGGCTTCTTATTCTAGGTATCGGTCACTTCATCACTGATAGTCAACAACAATTAAATGCAGAGGTATTGATTGTTATTGATTTAAGTAAAGAGGCAAAGTAGATATTGGGGGATAAGCTAGACATACACTCAAGCAGGTGCCGGTACTGACCCCAAAATGTCTATTACAATATCGCTCAAAAAAGGTTACACAGAAAAAGGTGCGTATTTTGGCCCTTAGGTATCTGTTACAATAGCGCTCAAAACATACATGATGCCAAGAAAAAGGTGCCGCTACTTATTTCAAAGTGTCTGTTACAATATCGCTCAAAGCATGATGCGTAGAAAAAGGTGCCTGTTCTGACCCAAAAGTGTCTGTTACAATAGCGCTCAAAACATGATGCCCAGAAAAAAGGTACCTGTTCTGACCCAAAAGTGTATGTTACAATAGCGCTTAAAACATGATGCCCAGAAAAAGGTACCTGTTCTGACTCTAAAGTGTCTGTTACAATAGCGTTCCAAACAGGATGCCAGAACAAGGTGCCGGTACTGTCTTCAAAGTGTCTATTACAATAGCGTTCAAAACATGATGCCCAGAAAAAGTTGCCTGTTCTGACCCCAAAGTGTCAATTTCAATAGCGCTCAAAAATCATGCCGAGAAAAAGGTGCCGGTACTGACTTGAAAGTGTCTATTACATTAGCGCTCAAAACATGATACCCAGAAAAAAAGGTGCCGGTACTGACCAAAAAGTGTCTATTTCAATAGCGCTCAAAGTATAATGCCCAGGAAAAAGGTACCAGTACCGAGTACCGCTACGTACTGTTGGTGAAAAAGTCCCGCACCTAGGGCAGTATGTATGCGTGTGTAACATGTGCAGCTGCACAAGGAGGCAACATTTTTGGGGTAGCAAAATTCTGAGGATGCAAACTATAATTAGTAGTCAACAAATATACCTGTTTTTGTTGCTTATATCATAAGGAAACCAACATTAGATTAGCGAGCTAGTATTAAAATAGTATAGTACTATTAGTCCAACTTGAAATGGCATCATTCGGCCGATTGTAAAAGAGCAAATGGATTTCAGAGGCGGGAGCAGTAGGATGTGATGTGTTGTTTTTGATTCAAGATTATGTTGGCCTTTATCAAACATGAAAATTGTGCCTTTCAACGAGACTGTTAAAATAAAATAAAATAAAAACAGAAGATACGATATGAACATAACTGACAAGCACTTGATCAGCCAGCATAAACACGAAGTTGCGTTATAAAGAAATGTGCTAACAAGTTGTTTGCCCCGTTATTAGGAAACTAGCTTCTAAGGGTTTGTCACTTTGCGGAGAGCAAGAGGTATTTGGCTCTGCGAAAAAAAAAAAAATTGTATGATGTGTTTTGAATTAATTAAGTCAGTTTCTTTTCTGGTAGGTCATACTGTACGCCTTGGTAACGTTAAAAAATGATTTAGTTAATACTTGCCTCCGGTAACTGATACAGATTTCTGATCTCTTATTGGAATTGAATTTGAGAAACAAATTTAAGCAATCAAGTTATTTCTTACAAATCTTTTTTTTTTTTTTTTCAGTCATAGTAGATTATACGCCAAATATATCTCACACTGAAAATGTAAGTGTAACCGTTAGATATGTAACTAAAGAGCTCTCAAATAAAAGAGTTTGTGTGTGTGTGTGTGTGTGTGTGTGTGTGTGTGTGTGTGTGTGTGTGTGTGTGTGTGTATGTGTGTGTTTGTAATAAAATTTGTTTCTCTCATTTTTTACCTCTCCAAAGAGAAGTTGGCCAAATTTAACACTGCTGGCTGCAGTGCCAAGCGCCTGAGCACGCCCTTACATGCAAAAATTGCCTACAGCTTTCTAGATTCCCCTATTAGCTCACCCGCTTATCTTGATGGCTAGCCTGACGATTTGGTCCGGGTTCACCTCCGGGGGTAGGCAGAAAAGCCACACACACAAAAATCACAGATTTACGGTGCCTATCATGGAATCAAGGCCAAAGGGTTGGGATATCCATAGTACCGGGCCAAGGGGGTTAACAACTCATGGTTTCTGGATATGTTAAAAACATCTAGATGGCTTACACGGGAAAACGCAAACAGGCAGGGAAATAAAGGAGATAGGTAAAATTAGGGAAAGAAGGGTTAAAAAAAAAATCATTAATAGGGAGGAGACCCAAAATATGAGAAACAATAATATAACAGGTAGGAGAAGGAAGAAGGGAAAATTTTAACGGGTCGGAGAAATGAGACAAGATAAACTCTAACAGAGTAGGAAAGAGAAATCGGGTGAGAAAAACAGTAACAAGCTAGAGCTAGAGAAAGAAAGAAAATATTAAATGACAGGAGAAAAAAGTTGCAAGAGATATAAAAACGGACGGCAGTAAAAAGGAGACAATTCATGCAAGAGGTAAAAATAAGTAGATTTAAAAGGGGAAAACAACAATAGACAAATGGGAAAAGGGGGTGGGGGGGGGGGGGGGGACACGTTTTAGAACAAGAGCAAAAATAGACAAGAAAACAAAAGGTAACAGCAGAGTGGATGGGGAAAACGATAAAACAAGATATAGCATTAGATAAAGGGGAGCGAGGGGAGGGGAGGAAGAAAAAGAAAGGTAAAATAAAAACTAGCAGGCAAAATAAGAAACGATTAAAACAAGATAAAGAGTCAGATTTAAAAAAGGAGGGGGGGGGGGAGGGAGGAGAGAAGAACAAAATAAAAATAAAAACTAGCAGGCAGGCGAAAAAACAAACTATAAAAATAAGAGAAAAGGTCAGATAAGGGGGACAAATTAACTAACAGGCAGGAGAACGGGGGAGAAGAAAAACACTAACAGCAGTGGACAAGTGCAGGCTCTAAATCATGTGTCAGAAAGTGTTTACAGGGATCAAGATATGCAAGATCAGTTATGCCCGTATCTGCCCCTTGGTGACACCGCCTGTGCGTGCCTTGGTGTCATTAGTTGTGAGTAGAATAGTGTCACCCCGGCGTGCCAGCTCGTGCCACAACCTACCCACAACAATGTCCCGGACGCTGCCGAAGATGGACACCTGGGATCACTCACTAACCCCGGTCATATCTGTTATCACAGTATCCATATCTTAAATCTGTCATTATATTTGTTAAATTTACGTATATAAGTGTATCTTTGTAAGTAAGAAACGTTTATCTGTTAGCCAGACTTATGTCTTATCTTGGCACCCTATAAAGACAGGTCCTGGATACAACAAAGAAGAAAGGAATATATTAAACAGTCACCGCGCCAATCAGAGAACAATATCGACCCGCAGTTACCATGCACGCGACGGGCGTGCGGCCAATCAGTCGTCCCCAAAGCTAGTGGGGCGGCGTCAAACGTGAGCCCGTTTGAGGTTTTACCCTAGGTCTTCGACTGGTCGTGTGCTCACTCCAACTAAGAAAGTGGTTCAGGAAGGACCGAGTATCCGGCAGCGTCCAGTGTTCAAACACCGGTGTTTATACGTCACTAATTCTAACCTTTTCCCCCCTACACGATCCCTCCTTCCGTCTTGGGCCGAGGATGAAAAGAAGTATGAGTGAAAGTGATTCTGACGATGGATTTGACGAGCGACTTAAACCCGGGTGAGTGTTGAACTGTATTACCTAAGATGTGACAGACTCATTCTTTCTGTTTCATGATGTTCGTGTTTGCGTCATCCACAACTTGGACCAGTTAACATTTAATTTCGAGCAGAAATAATAGTGGTTTCTACATGAAAAATATTCGATTCAGCCGTTAGGATTATAATTATGACCAACAGTGTCTATTGTATTTTCAGTGTATACCTATGCTAATTTATATATCGTGTAATCAATTCGTTCAGACATTTGTGTAGTTAAAATTGTTATTTTTTGGAAATATTATCCTGTTTACTTATTTGAGATATGATTATGGTGAACAACTATCTAATGATTGTTTCGATAATATTCTTTGCCTAATTTTTTTACTTTGAAATGAATTATGTGCCGCTTCTGCAATGAAGGTTTGCTATTAACACCTTATAGGGTTTACATTTTATTACGAGACGATTCTATGCTATCACATACATTTTTAAAAATCTAAATGTTAATGTCTTACCATTGTCCTAAAACCATATGAAAGTTTTTCTTTAACTT